ACCGGCATTCATTCCAGTTAGCTGCCTCTGTCCCAAGGCTGTCTCATCTCTCCTGGGGAGCATCTTGGGACCCCAGGCCCACTGCCCATCAGAAGGCCTCTGAGGATACCCAAGCCCCCACCAGGAAAGGGTGCTTGGGAGTCCTGCCAAGTGTAGCCAGTCCCAAGGCTGCATCTGACCTTCACCCAAATATGCACAAACCAATCTTCCAGATGCAGTGGGAAGAGAGACCCCGTCACAATAGCATTCCCTGTCAACCTGGGAAAGCACAGTGCAGTTAAAAGCCTATTTCTTTTTCTCTTGCAGCTATTGATCTACTTAGCTTTGTGCTAGGCTGTTTTCTGGCAATTAATTTCAGAGTCAGCACCGGGGCTTGCATTTTACCGCACAGCTTTCTCAACTAACGCGCAGGGCCCTGCCCATAAAGATGATGGTGGTGCCTCTCAGCTCCCCGGGCCAGGCTGTGGCTCCACCCTCGAATCGGAGTCAAATGCGATGCATGGCACAGACTCCCTGTCCTGTCACATTGATATGGTCATTTAAAAAATCCAGATGTGCTTTCCAATTCCTTGATCCTGGAGAACAGGAAACGCTGTTGTTTGTGTGCAGGTGAAGTGGAGTCCAGTCTCTCCGTCAGCCCACTTGAAAACCCAGCGCTCTTCCTGGACCGGGCCCTCCCACTGGCCCTCAGTTAGCGGTGGGATTCTGACCCTCCCGTCCCCTCTCCAAAGCTGCTTCCTCGTGTCTGTGCATGTTTAAAAGGGTTAGGAAGAGGAGGGTGGTGGATAACTGCGTGGCACGTCGTGGTCTGTAAAGCATGTGTATCTCCACATTGACTCAGTCTACCATTTGCAGCTTGGTGGGCGTGGTGTGAGTCCTAGGGTCCCAAGTTCTTCGGAAAAAAGAGGAAAGAGGAGGAGGAAGGGGAAAGGGAAGAAGAAGAAGAAAGAGAGAGAGAGAGAGAAAGAAGAAAGAAAGAAAAAGAGAGAGAGAGGGAAGGAAGGAAGGAAGGAAGGAAGGAAGCAGCTGGCCGGGTGGGCACTCAAGTGGGGTCCCAGAGCACGTCTGAATCTCTTTAAAGTGTATCAACGAATCAACCGAGCATGTATCGGGAATGTTTGTTCTTCCCAGGAGGGGGTTATCCATTCCCACCCCCAAAAGGTCTGTCCCACCAGGCCGGATGCCATTTTTCTCCCACGGCGGCCACAGAAACAGAGAGCCTTGGGGGCAGAAAGATCCTGTGGGAAGAACAGGTCCAACTCAGAGGAGAAAACTCAGGCCCGAAGCTGACTGCAGCTCCTGGGGCCCCGGCCGTGACGGACGGAGGCTCCTTCTCAGGCTGGCAGGCGGCCTTCCAGCCACAAGCCAACGCGGTTTCCAAGGGGCCGTTGCTTCCAACTCAAAACAGAGTGGTGGTTAGGGCCCCAGGCCTGCTGGAGAATAGAAGTCAGTTTAACCCGAAAGTATCCCAACACACACACACAGACACAGACACACACACGGTCTTTAATCTGTTCCAGCCCATGGCCCTGTCATGGGCGCCCAGGAGAGCGGCTCTCTCTAGAGCATTCACTTCCGCACCCTTTCAGAAGCTTCCCTTGGATGCATCCAAACCACCAGTCTTCTGGTTGGGAGTCAAACCCTTAGCCGTTGGCGCTAACCAGAGGCCCCAGCCCCGTGGCTCTAGAATGGCAGGCGGCCGTGGCCGGGAGGAGCGAGAATACATCGCTGGCAAGGGCTCACACACTCTTGGGAACAGACCTAGGGATTGGGCCTGTTTCCTGTCCCTGTGGGATGGGGAAGGAGCTGGTATTTACGGTGTTGGGGCATGAATAACACGGCCATGTATTAAGACGTGCTCTGGCCAGGCTGGCTCTATGCCACATGTTTTAAGCATAGTCTCCTCTCATCCTCCCCACCCCACCCCCCCTACACACAGAGATAATTAGCTCCTGCCTAAGTCTCTCGCTCTGTGTCCTGTTTTATTTTTCTCTGAAGCCCTTACTGCCTGGCCCCCGATGGCCAGCTCTGCAGATTGTAAATTCCACACGGGCAGGAACACAGCCTGCTCGGCTCGTTCACCACCGGATTATCGCTTCTCAGAACAGTGTCTGGCCCAGTGTGGGTGCTCTGCTCTTTGCATGTTTTCTGAATGGAAGAACGAGCGGATGGAGCCAGGGAGGTTTGGAAACGGGGGCGGTGGGGAGTGATCGCTTCATCTCCTGGGAGGTTTGGGGGAGGGTGGTTGAGACAAGGTGCACTTAGAAGACCGAGCCCCACGCCCCACACAGAGTCAGAGCCTTTGATCGATGTTAGCTGTCGT